GTGTGCCAGAGGAATAAGTCTACTACACGCGCGCCCCTAGGTCTTCTCAGACCCTTGCCTATTCCGGATCAGCCGGGAGACTCAGTGTCCATAGACTTCATGGACACGCAAGTCAAGAGCAGACATGGTAAGAGCCAAGTCATGGTCATAGTCGACCGTTTTAGTAAGTATGCAGTTTTTGTTCCTTTGCCTGCAGAGGCACGAACAGATCTAGTAATACAGAAGTTCTTTGACTTTTGGGTTAGTGAGAATGGAATCCCATTGTCAATAGTTGTGATAGAGATAGTCATTTCACCAGCCAGAACTGGCAAGAACTCATGAGAGTCTACGGATCTAAGTTGTTAATGTCATCCGGCCGTCACCCAGGGTCAGACAGAACAGATGAACAAGATCCTACAGCAAGTTCTGCGCATGTACATTAGACCAGATCAGATTAACTGGGATGAAATGTTGCCTAAGGTAGCTAGTGCATACAACAACAGCGTGCATCTATCCACCTGTCGCACTCCCAATGAGTTGCACAAGTCCTTTAGACCGCGCAGACCGTTCGAAGGACTGAACCGGGATCAGATTCACAGATTACCGCCCGGTACCAGGGAGTTTGCACTACAGCACGAAAAGGAGTTAGCCACTGTTGTTGAGAACCTTCGGAAGGCCCAACACAGAATGATAGAGCAGGCTAACAAGCACCGTCGCCCATCACAGTTTCAAGTAAGGCGACTTAGTCTGGGTCAAGGCAAAAGAGTTTGCACCGGAAGAAAACATCTCGCAGAAGTTACTGCCTGCATATAGAGGACCGTGGCCGGTTCTAGAAGTCAAAGGCGRAGAGGATGGACCGTCCTACAGCATTGAGATTCCAGCACACCTCCACACATACCCTGTGTTTCATGCTTCAAAGCTGCTACCGTGTGTCACTAGTCAACAGTTCCCTTCCAGGAGATCCATGATCCCACCGGATATGGATGGAAGCTATGACATAGAGGGCATTGTAGAAGAGGATGTGTTTAGGACAGGAGGTAGAGGTCGTCCCCAGAAACAGTATAAAGTCCCGTTTGCCTATCAGGAACCGGAAGACGACCGCTGGTTCACGAAAGCAGAACTTCTAGAGACTGCCCCCGACATAGTCAGACCCTATGAGCGTGACAAGAAAGGTAAAGGTCCCGCCTTGGACTAAAATTTTCTCCGAGGACCTCGAATTTAGGACGGCGGGAGTGAAACGGTTTTCACCTTTTAGCAGTAGCGGATGCAGTACCCAGGGTTCGATCCCTAGACCTCACCCTACCCATGTACAGTATCTGTGTAGACCCCGAGAATTGAACCTGTGACCTGTGTATTCGTAGGCAGTTGGTAGACCYGTCGTAGGTCCATAGACAGCAGGGGTTCGAGCTGTAGGTCTATAGCGTAGGAGTCTTAGTGAGTTCTGGAAGCTTAGCTGTAGACCTTCTAGAAGATAGGCAAGTGGGCAAGTGGTCAAGTGGCGAGGCAAGTGGTGGACTAAACCGCAGTGCAACAGCAGTACAACGTTGGTAGGATGGCGGTGAGACCACAGTCAGTCAGCGGAAGGTCCAGTCAGTCCCAGTCCGGTCCAGCAAGTACCACAGGGGGACTGAGAGCACCAAGGGCCGATGGCAAAGGACAGACCAACGAGTTTCTGAAGTATAAATCAAGAGGCAGCGCCCAGCCATTCATTCATTCCTGCGTGAGCCATGCGGAAGCGCTGCCACAGCGACTTCTGCAAGGAGGTCTGCAGATGAGCCCGGAGGACGCAGTGGGCAAGAGAAAGGGAGTTAGTCTAGCGATAGGTTAGATGCAGCGAAAGCTGCCATAGCTGTAGTTAGTAGTGAGTGTGTGTGTGTGTTCGAGTGTTAGAGTGATGCGTGTGGGATATCCAGGGTGATCCAGTGTATGTGAACAGTGAGATGTTTGGACGCTGAAGTCGCCATAGCTAATTGAGAGTGAACTCGTATCTGAAAGCCATATCTCTGAGTTTTGAGTGGGCGCATGTCGCCAGTATGCTGCGTTGCTGTTTACATGCATGAAAAGTGTGTTTGAGAACGAGTCTGATTGCAGAGAGAAAGAAAGGGAAAAAAAAAAAAAAAGATACAGAGAAGATTAGCATGGCCCCTGGGGCCTGGACAAGAAAAAACAAAGGAAAAAACTTCAAAAAAGCTTGAAAAAAGTTCTTAAAAAAACAACGAAGGGGGATTTTCCAATTTTGTGATCATTTTCGTCATCAAAGAGACTCCAACGTTCTCACTAATTCTTCTGATGGTGTGATCATGTCGATGTCGTCTCCGTTACTCCCGTACCGTCTGTCACCCGAATATAAAGCACGGTTATTATATCTGTATATGTGTGTCAACTTTCAGTCTAGGTACAGCGATAATGATTGGGCAGTGGGCGCCCTATTTGGGGGAATGTTGTGGGGGAAGACAGTAGTCTGGTTGTCATATGCATGCTCGCCAAGAGCGCTCATAGCGCTTGCAATTTGAATGAATGAACATATGCAAGCCATCACAGATACATCCACCAATATGTGAGCGCGAAGCATAGGGGCAAGGAAGAAAAATCCGATTGCACAAGTATCAGAAAGAATTCTGACACAAAGAGAACACAGATTAGAGAGTCGTTCTCTGTCTCATGTAAATTGAGTCCCTCGTGTGCAGTTTCCTTGCACATAAAAAAAAAAAAAAGAAAAAAAAAGTTGAAAGTTTGAAACTTAAAATAGCCACTACTGACCTGGTAGTTCTGACAGCTATCATCGGGAATACCGTGCTCTGCAATCTGCCACAAGCACAAAATGGATCAGGCAAAAAGAAAAAGAAAGAAAAAAAAAAAAACGGATCAGCAACACCGACATTTCAAGTTCCAAAGAGCAAATAGCAAAACAAACTGTATGCTGCAGTGCATCAACGGAATCAAATAGCATAAAATAATATTAAATTGACATAAAATTTGCATACATTTGTCATAAATTTGGGAATAAATTTGCCATAAAATTGTCATAAATTTGGGAATAGAATTGGCATAAAATTGGCATAAAATTGGCATAAAATTGGCATAAAAGTGCCATAAAAATATTGCTATAAAAACCGCATTAGATCCGTATTAATATTAAATACTATAAAATTGACATAAAATTTGCCATGAATTTGCCATGAAAATTAGCCACAAGATTGCCATAATTTCGCCATAGTTTTTCCAGTAATTTTGCCATAGATGTTCAATAAATTTACCACAAATTTTCCATTAATTCACCATAAATTTGGGAATAAATTTGCCATAAAATTGTCATAAATTTGGGAATAGAATTGCCATAACATTGGCATAAAAGTGCCATAAAAGTCCCATAAAATTGCTATAAAAACCGCATTAGATGAATTTAGATCCCTATAAAATTGACATAAATTTTTAATTTTGCCATGAATTTGCCATGAAAATTAGCCACAAGGTTGCCATAATTTCGCCGTAGCTTTTCCAGTAATTTTGCCATAGATGTTCAATAAATTTACCACAAATTTGCCATTAATTCATTATCAATTTTTGCCATAATTTCGTCACACTCAGCCTTTCTTCGTGGACTCGCGTTTAACGAATACTACACACGGATGAAGGGAAAAAAAAAACGGAAAAAAAAAATGGCTGCAAAAGGAAGTCTCTATTTGTTAGGCATTTCACCTACCCAAGCATACGCAGCAAATCCATCACCGCCTCTGCAGCCTATCGTATCATTGCCTGTGACACAGTTGACGAGGACCTGCAACACAATCGCAAACAACAGTCTGGATTTAAGAGACCAGAAGGAGACGAAAATAATAATAATAATAATAATAAGAGAGCCAAAAGAGCCCAGCGCAGACCGAAATGGACAAAATTCCATCATCCTTAAATTAAAAAAATAAATAAATAAAAGATCCATCATCCCCTTATGCAAGTCAGAAGCTTACATTTTGATCACACTGGGCCGAGAAGACTGAACAATCTTCATCAACCGACAAAGGAACTGCGGCGGTCAATACCTATATGTTGACAACAACCTTCCACCTCGTCACTCTTTCTTCCCTGCTCTCAACCCTCCTGCCTCATCCTCCCTCTCCCCTCCCTCTCTTATCTTCCTCCTTCTCCCTCTCTGCCCCCCCCCTTTCCCCAACCCTCTCTCTCTCTCTCTGTCTCTCTCTCTCCACTGTTGTTTATATGTGCATGTAAGTTTGCTTGGGGTTGGGTTGGAAGGAGGCTATGCTTGCTAACAGCCAAGAAGTTCAAGATAGAACTCGCTAGGAATCGAACGTTAAAAAAAAAAAAGAAACAAACAGGAATCGAACCTATGACCTGCCACCAAAGAGGTGGATCACTTAACCAATAGGTAAAGCGAGCTGGGATGAAAGTGAAGGCCCTTGTGAGAAGAAGTGGTCCCCGTGACGCATTGCTGTTGTGGGACATTTCACCCCACCACATCCATGACCCGGGTTAGGATGCGCAGCAACGTAATGTGAGTAAATAGTGTACCTCACACATCAGATATTCTCAAAGACGTGTACCTCGCACATCAGATATTCTCAAAGACATTTTCGGAAACAGAAAAATTGAGCGATAAGTTGAATGAAGAAGAAGAAGAAGAAAGAAGAACAAGAAGAATACTATTAAACCACCCGTACCTGCTGGTTGTTGCGGCCGTTAACGCAGTAGCCGAATCGGTCTGCCCGTCGAGTCCATATTCATTTGACCCGGAGGGGGTACGAAAAATGCGGTAGGTACTGGTGGTTTAAGAAAGAAATAAGGAACAGGGTCCAAACAAGCATGGCCGACCCATCCGTCCAATGAGTCTGCGTGAGCAGAGGAGGAGGAGGTGGTGTTCCTCACCTTTCCGTTCGACGACTCCAACCCAGAGAGAGACACACTGAGACACACCTTTATGTTTTTTTTTGAAACAGGTATTGCAAATTAGGTGCTACGAATTTCCAGAACCCCAAGTACTTCCTTCCACTCGTCATATCACTTACACCACTTGGTCGAGATGAGATCACACTTGATTGATACTCCACAGAAAATTGAAACTTGATCAGTCAAAAAATAGTCGATGAAACCAGACGAAGGTGATGACGAATTGAAGGCCCTGCCTCCCTGAGCAACATGCAACAATCGGCTCAAGAAACCATCCACTGAACAGCAAGTTCTCTCTCTCTCTCTCTCTCTCTCTCTCTCTCTCTCTCTCTCTCTCTCTCTCTCTCTCTCTCTCTCTCTCTCTCTCTCTCTCACTCACTCAAGCAGTGCTGAAAAGTAGCGCCCCTCTAGTCTCACCAAGCGGCAAAATGTCACGAATGAATTGTGAAAATGAGCGTTTTGCCCCCAACATGTCAGTTTGCGTACGATTTAGAGTGTCTGCGTACCAAAAGAAAAGCCAAAAACTACCAGCCAACAAGATCCTACCATGATGCTACAGTCTTCCCCCGAATACAACGTACGGTCATTATAGCTGAATTTAGACTGACAGATAGACCAAATTCAGCTATTATGACCGTGCGTTGTATTCAGGGGAAGACTGTAGGCAAATAGAGACTGTACACACAGGTCCCAGGTCAAAAAAAAACTCAGCCACTCCAGAACAGTGAAGGAAAACAAACCAAAACAACCATACTTAGTTTGTTTGGCCCCAGATTCAAATCCTGGCAAGAACAAAAATATAACAGAAACTTGAAATACAGCAAATATCATTGGGCAGGTTGAGGGTTCAAATCCCACAATCTCAACAGAGGCAAGTCGACATGTGTGCTGTCATGTTCGCTATGCAAAATCCACCACTAGCGGTCGCTTGAAGGCCCAAAATACTGTTTCGCCGGACTTTCACCGACTACGCCAGATTGTTTCGGCGGACTTTCACCACCAACTCATCAGGAGGTTGAACCCGAACAGTCTTCCCAGGAAACATTTTGACTGATGGGATAAGGAGTATTAAGGACTCACCACGTCGCCCAAATTTTAGCGATACCCCTGACAGAAGTGGCAAACTTTACTCACACCAACCCGACAATCCCAGCAGACACACCGTAATTCTGAGAAACTACCTTCTTCACCCGAATAGAACGCCCGGTCATAATATCCATATGTGGTGCAATTTTCAGTCCACATACAGCGATAATGACCGGGCGTTCTATTCGGGTGAAGACGGTAGTCCTATAGGGCCATAAAACCCAATCTACACACCCACTCAGCCTTTTTATTTTGTTTTCTTTTGCCTGTTTTTTTTTTTTTTTTTTAATCATGTTTTATGAGCCTGCATTCTTTCTTTCCAAAATTTTCCACCAGGTTGCTTGTGGCGATGCGCCGAAAAACACCGCTTTTTTGGTCTTCCATTAACCATCCTCTCCTCAGCCATGGATACTATGTATTGTCAAACAACCCCAAACTCTGTCCTCATTCCATCCACAAATCATCCCCACACACCGTCCACAAACCGTCCACAAACCGTCCACACATATGGTTAATAGGTGGTGTCATTTTCGGCGGATTTTTCACCGAAACTGCCATATTTTCCCGAATTGGTGTTTTTTTTTGTGTTTGTTTTTTTGTTAACCATCTCTCCACATAGTCCACAAACCATCCACAAACCGTCCACAAACTGTCCACAAACCGTCCACAAACCATCCACAAATCATCCATAAAACAAGGAAGGTATAGATAGGCAATGGCCACGTTTGCGTGGTTAAGCGCCAAGTGCCCACACACCCGTGTGTGCAGAGCAAATCTTGTCTGTGGCGATGGATGTACTACGGGCCTCCGTTTTTCTTCTTCTTCTTTTCCTCTCTTTTTTTCCAAATGGGCCTTACCTGTGGGGAGAGCGCAACCTCTGGATAAACATCCCCCCGAAGGAGAGAGATCCGGTCACTCAGCGCGCTTGATGTCGCCATTGCCCAGCAGGATCCACAATAGTTGGGAATGTGTTGATTGCGATTGACGGTAGCATAGCTGCGGCCATTCACGTTCCGAATGTCGTACGAACGTGGCAGGTTATTCATGGTCAGGTACGTGTGCGGCAGAGGACTCTTGATCAATGAATTCTGAAGCACAAATTCCATGCAACACAACAAAAAAGTTGGAAAAAAAAACACAAATGTGAGAGATGCCAGAAAATAAGACCAAAAAAGGGTCCTTAATACTCCTTATGAACCTGGCTCCATATCCATTCTGGGGAGAATCAGTCTGGCTCCTTTTCCACCGGCTGATGCCAGAATGATTTATTATAGTAATATAAATTATTCATATTATTACAATATAATAACATTATTATCATCATCATTATCCTCCCCCCCCCCCCCCCCCCCCCCCC